TTTTTTTTTCCTCTCTTCCTCTTTCAGGATCACCACCACGGCCGCCTGCATGATGGACCTGCGGAGGTACCCCCTGGACCAGCAGAACTGCACGCTGGAGATCGAGAGCTGTGCGTATGCCTCCAGCCTGTCCCCTGCCACGCGGTGCCACCTCTCTGCTGCCACCCGCCCCGGCCACTGCGTCCCACTCGTGGGGTGCTCCCTCCCCCTGAGAGCACCTCATGGGGGAAATTCCCAGGAAAACAGAGCTCTCAGCGGGCTGGGCATTCAGATCAGTCCCAGGAGGGTGGTGGAAGCCTCCCTTAGCCTTAAGGAACCCCTGGGAGCCTGTTGTCACTCCCGGCTGGCTCAGCTCCGTGTGGGAGGTGGCACCCAGCCCTCTCGCCGTCCTCCCCCGCCTGGATGTTCCCTGCCCTCCTGTGGAATCCTCCCCAGCTGTGCACAGGCTATCCCGGTGGSAAGGCGCTGCAGTCCCTCCAGGGCCGGCCGGCAGCGGGGAGATCACCGGGAATGGATTTTCCAGCAGGGAGAYCCCACAGCACCCGGTGGGAGCTGCSCAGCCCATCCCTGCTCCTGCCRTGGGCAGGTCCTGCCAGGGATGTCACTTGTGCCACTCCTCGGCGTTTCCACAAGAGTTTACAGTACAACCGAGGAAACAGAAGGCAGGGAATTACCCACAGTTCCCCGTCCTGCGATTTTGTTCTTAATGGGTCATGTCAAGCCAATTTGTTCATCAAAGCTACATTTCCTCACAACGTTCCTCAGACCCAGGCAGAGATGAAGAGAGCCAATTGTTTCCTTCCTCAGAGCCTTTGTCTCTTACACACTTTGCACACTGGAAATCTGCAGGACTCCATTTTCTCTGCTTCCACACGGCTCTGGAATATCAATCCTTTTAGGGCTGCCTTATAAAAACAAAGTATTTTAACAAAGAAAACCAGCTCAAACCTCAGAGAAAAAGCCCTTTTGTGGTGTAGAGGTGCTGGTTTTGGGAAGCAGCAGGAGGCAGATGGGGTCCCCTGCCCCACAGCAGCTCAGGGCTCTTACCTGTAGGAGATGGCACTGCCTGTTGATCCCATCCCTCCACCCCAAAAATAACCCTCACCACGTCTACCCCTGCATGTATCCAACAAAAACCTGAYGAGGCAGGCGGCAAACAGGCTGCTAATCTGACATTTGAAGACGTCACATCAATACTTTTCGATATTTCAGATGGAAATGACTTGTCTTTGTGAAAGTTCGTTTACTTTTTAGAAGTAAAATGGAAATTYGGTTTTCTCTTTAAAGCTAGAAATCAAAGCAAAGCATTTATTTTTAGACCGAGCAACCTTTCCCTTTAGAAACACTTTTAAAAAATGGCTTCATGAAAAACATGCTCGATTTCATGTTGCATAATGACATAATAAAAAAAAAAAATACAAAAATTGGTACCCAACACCAGCAGGTCATAGAATAAATGGGATAGAGCTAGTTAACTGTGAGATCTCCTAAAATTAGTTACCGTAATTTGACATTTTCATTGCTGATCAGGAAGTAAATTTGAAGTCACTGCTGTTAAATTTGTGGATGATGAAGATAGCAGCGTGCGGGGCTTTGCTGGCTGCGCATTTGAATCCTCCCCAATCGGAACCCATCCGGAAGGGGTTTGAGCASAGCCAAATGCAGAGGGCTCAGCCCCACCCGGGAGGTGAGGAAGGGATGGAAGGCAGCCCCGAGCACCACGGCTGGAGGGTCTGTGGCTCTGGCAGAGAGGGCTGGAGCCAGCCCTGSTTATATAAACCAGGGGAGCCGTGAGTCAGAGCTCCGAACCGATTGGCCTCTGAACGTGTCGCCGAGATGGGGAAGGGGGCTCTGCCTATATCTGGGTTCCAAAATTCAGAGAGGAAGTGGAGAAATCGGAAGAGGTTGAGGAAAGATGCTGAGAAGTGGTTGAGGGGCTGGAGCAGATGTTGTGCAGTGAGAAACCTCAATAGCTCAATCTGGTTTGTTTACTGCAGAGGAGGTGGAGAGGGGGATTGTTTACAGGCTGGGTGCACCTCTGCAGAGGGGACAGGGCTCGGCAACCTCCTGCACAAATTCCCAACAACCATCGCAGCCCGGGAGCCGGAGCCAGACGATTGAATGTGAAATTGTACACAATGTTTCCTCGCTGGGAGAGAGCCGGAGCTGCTGGAATCAGCCACCGGCAGCAGTGGGGGGGATTTGGGTGTTTGTTGCTGGTTCCAGCCCTGGGGCTGAGCGATGCGAACCCCCTGTCCTGTGCACAGAGCTGGGGTGTGAGCAGGGTAACCCAAGGGTCTGAAACTCTGTGGGCTCCAAGGTGTGAGTGCTTCACCGCTCTGCGAGCAGGAAGATGCCGACTGGGAGAGGAGGTGGAGCCCTGGCTTTGCTGATTTCCACCACAAGCAGATGTGGCATGGCATTTGGAAGACTGGGTTTATGTTTTAGCACCCATGAATAAGCGTGGTAATGACTGAGAGCGCAGGATGTGGGCTTGGAGACTGCACAGTCATCAAATAATTCTGTTTGGGAAGAGACCTCGGGGTGTTTRTAGTCCAGCCTGCAGCTCAGAGCAGGGTCAGCTGTGAAATCGAGCCCATTGCTGAGCCCTTTGTCCACTCAGCAGCTGCAGGATGGCACWGTCTCAAAGGTTCAGCTCTGATCTGGGGTAACCCTCAGCCCCCACAGCAGAACAGAAGGATTTCCCCTCTGTTGGACATTGAGCAGCTCTGATCCCACTGCTCCCTGGTTTGGTGGCAGCCCGGTCTGGCACGTGTATTTTGGGGTTAAAGTGAGAAGCGGCACCCTTGGCTGAGTTAACAAACCCATGGCCCCGCAATGTGAGGGATGGAGATTTGTTACGAGTCTCACTCCCTCTCTTCTCTCATCACTGCTCTTCTCACCAGCACTGGGTAAAAGCAGCCCCCAGCCTCAGAGTCTCTGTTCGCTTCTTGCCTCTGAATTTGGGCTGAGTACTTAGAAAAGGGAGGTGCTCTGATCTTCAAACTTCTTCTCAGCTGCTGCTGCTGTAGATCTTTTCCTCTCTGGGAATTTTTAATACTGAGATGCCCTGTTTACCCAGTCCCACCAGTCTGCACTGTGTGGTCTCCCCCTCCTGGTAAAACGAGGCAGTTTTTAAAAAGCAAAATGCTGTGTTTGGTGCATTTGACAGAGGCTTGTGGTGCACGAGTCGCTGTCATGTCAGCCATGGAGATTATGTAGCGCATCTCAAGGCTGGATGGGCCACGCCTCACCTTTTCCTGAATTCCAGCCAGAAATGGGAGTTCTGGYCAGTTTTTCCTCTTCTCCTGGGGACTGTGCTGCTTACCTCAGCTGAAGAAGGAAAGTACCTGAGCAGGGAGAGGCTACACTTGGTGTGGGCTTTCTGCTGGATCCTTTTCCAGATCACCTTGGTGCACATGGGGGTGCCCATGGGGGTGTCCTGGGGTGCCCATGGGGGTGTCCTGGAGTGCAGCTGGTCAGCTCAGCTGTCCCTCTGTGCTCCCTCTCCCTGCAGATGGCTACACTGTGGATGACATCGTCTTCTTCTGGCAAGGGAACGACTCTGCTGTCACRGGGATGGAGGTGCTGGAGCTGCCCCAGTTCACCATCATCGAGCAGAGGCTGGTCAGCAGGGAAGTGGTCTTCACCACCGGTGAGTGTCTGGGGAAGGGGTGCATGGAATGGGCAGATCTGCTGCTGATCGAGTGGTTCTCCCTCTGATTCAGGTCCTGAGGCACTGATTTGGGATCTAGGCTTCAACTTAGGGCTCCTTTAGAAAAGAGGCATCTTCTGTACCCACCAGCTTTGGAATTTTTTGAAGGTTTTTTTTTTTT